GGATTTTTTTTATGTGGTGCACACTGACCACACAGACCCATTCTCTCACATGTGGGCCTACCAGTTTTCTCCCGCTTGATTTAAAGCCGCTAGAATTATTGAGTATTTATTCGTCAGAAACATTGGCTCGTAAGACGTATTTATACGTCGAAAACAGTCAAAGGGTTAACAACTTCAACACTCTCCCCTCCTCCCATCACATCAATCATCACCAGATCTTCATTAAAGGTAAGTGTCATGTATTCTATTGTTAGTAGAGTACTACTAACTGTGCATGTCTTCTTCAGTTTGTATGCATTAAACTTAATATTTCATGTCATAAAACTTTTTTTCCATAGTACTTTTGGGTGTCTTGCACGGATTAATTTGATTTCCATTATTTCTTATGGGGAAAATTAATTCGCCTTTCGATAATTTTGGCATACGATGAGCTCTCAGGAACGGATTAATATCGTATACCGGGGGTCCATTGTAGTCAGAAATTGGCAATTTGGCCAATTTCACACAAATTAAAAAAGATGCCAATTTCAAAATGTCCAGAATAAACACTGTAGACATTCTTGGTACTAAAATAACATATCCTCTGTTCATTAGTCACGTCTCTAGGCCCCTCTTACATTACTATTGCTTTCTATTTTGATTTTTTATTCATACAAAAAAACACAAAATTTACTGTTATGCAGACTACTGCATTATTTTAAAAATGGTATAAATAATATCAGTGCACTAGTGAAAGAATATTAGACTCCCTAGTTGAAGTGTATTGGACATGTGGTGTGATTTGCTTACTTCTGAACATTGGTAAAAATCGAACATTTCCGCTACTTTGAGGTCAATTTCAAGGTCGTTTTCATCGTGAAAGTAATCAGAATCATCTCTATTTCTGTAATATGTTTTCCATTTTATCACCCGAGACCATGAAAACAAGAATACAACGATAAATAGGTAAATACTATATGAAAGTACACCTCAAAGTCGGCGTTTTAATCCCCAAAAATTGTCATTTTTTTCCTCATTACGTACTGCGTGCTGCAGGATTTTTTTTATGTGGTGCACACTGACCACACAGACCCATTCTCTCACATGTGGGCCTACCAGCTTTCTCCCTCTTTATTTGAAGCCGCTAGAATTTACACGTATAAATACGTCAGAAACGGTGGTGCGTAAGATGTATATATACGACCGAAACAGTCAAAGGGTTATAAACCCACTCACTTATTCTTATTTGCATCTCTTCAAGAGGTTTTCAGACATAAGAACATAAGAAAGGAAGAACACTGCAGTAGGCCTGTTGGCCCATACAATGGAACCTCAAATTTCGAACTTAATCCGTTCCAGGAGCTAGTTCTAAATTCGAAAAGTCTGAAATTTGAAGCGATATTTCCCATAAGAAATAATGGAAATACAATTAATCCGTTCCAGAAACCAAAAAATATTCACACAAAAAATACATTTTATAGAGATTAATTACAGTTTTACATACAACAAATACTATAGTTTTTAATTATGTATAGTAATAAATATAAAATAACATTTTTACTTACCTTTATTGAAGATTGGTGATGGCATCTGGAAGATAGGGAGGAGGAGAGAGGGAGTTGGGGTTAGTGTTTGGAAGGAGAATTCCCCTCCATGAAGACTTCAGGTAAAGCCCTCTCTGGGGTTACTTCCCTTCTCTGTCTTTTAATGCCACTAGGACCAGCTTGAGAGTCACAGGACCCCTGTCTCACAAAATAACTGTCCACAGTCCTCTGTTTCTGGCACCTCTTTAACATTTCCCTAAAATGGGACATGGTTCTGTCACTGAGCTTGTTGCAAAGATGGCTTGTTTCAGCTTGCTGAGGGTGGTACTTCTCCACAAACATTTGGACATCATTCCACTCTCATCTGTATTATTTCCTTCTTCACATCTGTGGTGTTTCTCACTTTCTTTACCACAGGGGTACCACTAGCAAGTTTCTTTGGGCCTATGGCAGCTTATTTCACAGTCCCACAAGCACTAAACACAATGAAATAATCGTAAAATGTGTGAATGAGAGCGCAGGTTAGTGTTCACTCAAGCATAAACAAAGCTAGACTGCTCACAGCGCCTGCGCAGGGACGCAGACAGAGCGGGCCGGCGGACAGGTCCCGTACCCGGCGGTCCGAAAATAGGGGCGCGTTCGATAATAGGGACACAGTTTGTCCGAAAAAAGGGTCCTTTTTTTCGATGCGTTCGATTTTTGAGGTTGCACTGTACTTTTTTATTTTTTCAACAAAATCAGCCATATCCCACCGGGGCAGGGTAACGTAAAAAGAAAAACAAAAGTTTCTCTTTTTAAATTTAGTAATTTATACAGGAGAAGGGGTCACAATTGGAAGTTGAAGACTCAGGTGAGTCACAGGGATGTTAGGAAGTATTTCTTCAGTCAAAGAGTTGTCATGAAGTGAAATAGCGAGGTGGTGGTGGCATGGTGGTGGGGTTACTAGCCCCTTGCTCCCAGCATTTTATTCGTCTCTTATGGCATGCATGGCTTACAGAGGAAGAATTGTTACACTTCCCCATGGAGATGCTAAATAAACAAGAAAAAGAGGCTAGTAAGGAAATAGAAGAAAACCCAGAAGGGTGCATTTACACGCTTGTCTATGCATGTGCAGTGTGACCTAAGTGTAAGTATAAGTAGCAAGATGAGTATGAGACAGAAAAAAAGACACCAGCAATCCTACCATCATGTAAAACAGTTACAGGTTTCCATTTTACTCTCACTGGCAGGACAGTAGTACTTCCCTGGGTGGTTGCTGTCTACCAGCCTACTACCTAGGGCTTCTGCTTATATTGCACAACTTTAGTTTACCATTTTCAGTAAGCCATAAAGCGTGTGTACATATCACTGCTTCCATTACCAGTAAAACTCATACAGTACCTAGGGAATTATCAAGCTTGATCCAAGGAAAGAAAGTCCTTGGATTAGAGACCTGTACTAGTATCAGAACACCTTACTCCCTCCTTTGAAGGGATGAAGTAATTACAAATAATTCAGAGAGAGGTCAGGGCAATAGTTCATGTATATGTAGGGAATATCCACGGATAGGTTGGAAGGGACGTGTAAAAGAGGTACTGTAATTGAGGGGGAAGGGCTTGAACATTCAGCCATCATATGCAAACTTATTAGGTTAGAGTGGAGACAAATGCTATTTGAAATTTGATGCACAAAACTGTTGGAGTGTGAGCATGGTAATATTTATGAAGGATACTGGAAAACTAGCAAACTACTGTACTTGAATTTTGTAGAGAAGTATTATTGACTACTCTTAAAGTTGTGCATGAATGATCTGGTTAACATACCAATGTTAACCAAATAAAGTACTGTGTTTGTCTTTGTAAACTTATAGCAGTTTATGGATATTGAAAATGTGTGGAATTGAAGGTAGGTTACTAAAAGCAGTAAAGAGTTTTTACAATGATAGTGAGACTCAGGTTAGAGTATGTAGGAGAGAGGGCGATTATTTCCCAGTAAAAGTAGGTTTTAGAAACAGGGATGTGTGATGTTGCCATAGTTTGATATATTTATATATAGGGTTGTAAGAGAAGTGAATTCTCATGTGTTGGCAAGAGGTGTGAGATTAAAAGATAAAGAATCTAATACAAAGTGGGAGTTGTCACAGTTGAGTTTTGCTTTTTTGAGATTCTGAAGAGAAGTTGCAGAGGTTTGGGGAAAAAAAAATTTGGGTGGGGATGTAAAAAAAAGGGAAATTAAAAGTGCCCATAGAAATAGTAAGGTGACGAGAGTAACAAAAAATTTTGGTAATAAAAGATTGGATATCAGATTGGAGCGAAGGAGCATGGAGGAAGTGAATTTTTTTGGATATTTGGGAGTTTGGGCTTGGGAGCAATGGGTCTATGAAAGATGGTGAATCTAAATTGATGAAGGGGACAAAAGGGGGGGTGCACTGAGAAAATTTTTGGGGAAAAAAGAACACTATCCATGGAAGCAAAAAGGGGGAAAGTACAGAGGGATAGTTATACCAAAAGCCTGCTGGAGGCAGTGGGGGGGTTTGTGTCTGGGGTAAAAGCGGGGGTGAATTAATGGGAGAAAAATCTGTAGTTTAAAATTAAAGGAAAAGGGGGTGCAAGGGGTTTCTAAAACTATTTTCTTAGCGAGCTGAAGGGGGTTTTTTGAGGTGTTTCAGATATTTTTGAAAAGGGTTAACGAAAAAGAAAAGGTTTGAAGGGGGTATAAAAACTTAGTGGAAAGAAGGCGAGTAGGGGGCAAAAACCTTTAAAAAGGAAAAAATTGGGGAGAGGGAGTAAAAGGGGATTTTTTGTGCAAGGGCAAACCTCATGAGCGTGTTAGATAGGGGTGAGTTGGGGACAAGTGGGTTTTTTGATCTTTAAAGTGCTGTTTTAAGTTTTAGGGAAAATAAAAGTTTATAAGGGATTCCCGGGAAAAAGACAAACTGGGCCTGGGGTTTCCCCGGAGGCAGAAGTTTTTCAAAACCTGCACTCTGAAGGGGGGGTGTTTTTATATGTTTTCCCGTTTTTTTAATTTACCGTATAGGTGCACCTCCCCGGGGAAGACGTGGTTTAAGTGAATGATGATGAAAGTGTTTTTTTTTCTTTTTTTTGGGGGACCCTGCCTTGGGGGGAAACAACCGATGTGTTAAAAGAAAAAATTTAAATTTCACTGGGAAGGGAAAAATAAGTTATTTTGCAGTGGTGTTTTTTATTGTCATAAAATTTTTTAAAAAAATTTTTTGGGGTCAAATTTTGTTTTTGGCAAATATTTTTTATGTATATTGTTGCTAAAAAAAGTTTTAGTATCCATTTAATAATTTGTTTATCTTTTTGATGGTGCAAATGTTCTGAAGATTACTCTAATTCAGTTGATAAGATGCCTGTTTAAACAGTAGTTTAAATAACATTAATATATAAAAAAATATTTAATGGTCATGGTCACTAAATTGTTTACTGAAAAGTAATTGCTGAAAATTACATATGTGATTAGATACATTTCTTCCAGGAATCGTGGAAGCAAGCGTAAAATCCTTGAAGCAGTGACAGACTTGGCGCTGATTGGCCGAGGTCTAGCTGGCACAGATTATGGAGCTCAAACTCGTGGATTCCACTGACAAGTTGCCTTCATCCTTCTCACCCTTAACTGTTATGGAGTCTACTTGTTGTGCTTGAATGGTTTATCTGCCTAAGTTTTCGTGTTCTGGAATATGTTACTTGCAAAGTTAAATATTTCATCTCCAAGTAAGTCGTCACCTAATACAAATCATATAAATTTATTATTTTATTGGGTCATATACATAACTGTTGTTATGAATTATAGTGATCAAGGTTGGGTGAATATAATGTAGTTTGTTTGCAAGGCAAGCCTTTCCTTCATATTTAGAGAATGGCAGTGTAACATATTTTTGAGCAAGAAAAAGTTGTTACAAATTGTGAGTATTTATTTTTACTTTCAGATCATTTTAGACCTATCATGGCAAGAGCAAAGCCTCCTCTCACAGTATTAAGTCATTAAAATGACCAAGGTCAGGGAATAGAGAAGGAATTTTCACTCTCAATCATGTTGAAGTTTACTATTTAAACTTAAAATAGCATTAACCTCTTAAAGAAATATAAAATATTAAAATGACAAGGAAAAAGTTGTGTGGTTAATCATATCTCCAGATTTTGTTCTACTACATAATCCACTTCTATATTTTTTTAAAACTTCTTCAACTAGTTGTTGCCTTGTATATCAAAGGCCATATAAACCATTTACATTTTTGTCTCTAGAGTTGTATTCTTACATCACAGTGACTAATCCAAGAGCCAGATACAGTACTTACTTTTTTATGTTAACTTGTATATCAAGTGTTAGTAATCAGTGTTTTCTCAGAATTTGAGTTACATATGCTGCTGAATGCTAAGCTTCCAGCCATTCATTGATGTATAATCTATGACATGTTCATAGAACAGCAGTTAATTCCTATTTTAGAGAGATCTCTATTGTACTATATGTAAATAATTATGTAAGTTAATATTATATTTCATAATTTAATATTTGAAACATTTCACATTGTATAAGTCATTATAGTTTACATTTTTGCTGTTTAATTTGCCACCACTAGTTAAAGAGATATGGTAGTTTTAGCAGACATTTTTGGCCATAAATGTTTACAATTGCCATGACATGAGAGATCCAGTGATTCTTTTACACTGTTGAGCTGCTGGCCAGCTCAAGATGAATAGCAAACAGGAATCCATATCCAAGCACAATCCCAAAAATAATATCCAATGCTTGCTGTTTTATGGAATATTGTAATGGACTCCACAATTTGATATTTCATCAGATGCAAGCTGGGGTTAGGAGGCGAGAAAGCACTTTTTCTTTTTTAATACAGTAACTAGTAGTTAAAAATAATACTCCCTGATACTTGTGGTTTATCATTTCAGTAGCTATCTTTTGAAAACCAGTGGAAGGGTCACTCGAGAGCAACTATTCAAAACAAGTTTCTAAAGTTATTACCAGTAGTAAAGCAATTATGAAACTGTGTATGTGTATTCAAACTATGAATATCAGTGACAGACAAATGCAAGATTGTTTATTACTTTTAGTTGTTCATTTATTACAGTAGAGCCTTACATAATGCGAGGGGTTATTTTCCTGAAATCGGTGTTTTACATAATTTCGTGTTTTGTAATGTGAATAATACAAGGGACAATTTGGGTCATTCATGACACCTCAAAAAAATTTTTTTTTAATTTGTCAAAAATAATAAAGCTGTAAGTCACAGTAAAAAACTGGTGTTCAGTACAGTATATCATCTGCTTCTTCCAAAGAAAATGGGAAAATGGGCATAGTACTCTTTCCAGAGAAAATACAGACAGTTAATACATTGCCAATGACAGTTATATATATATATATTTTTTTTTTTTGATGTACTGGCTGTCTCCCACCGAGGTAGGGTGACCTAAATATAAAAATGAAAATTTTTCTTTTTACATTTAGCAGTTTATACAGGAAAAAGGGTTACTAAACCCCTTGCTCTCAGTATTTTAGTCATCTCTTAAGACACTCACAGCACAGTGAGGAAGGATTCTTCACTTCCTCATGGAGTATTAGTATAAAATATGCTTAAAAATGAATGAGGAAGATTTTTACTCTACCTTAAATTCTTTGTTTCTCTTGCCTGTTGATGAAGAGGTGTTTGAAGATGGTCATCTAGCTCATTGCACAGTAGACCACTCTGTGGTCTATTGTATTAACTGATGCAACTCTTACATTTTTTCAGCTAATGGCATTACACATTTCATTCTAAAATTTTCTTGTTTATAATAGAGATAAAGAATTTTGTCCCACCTTACATTACTTGTTCTCTTGTTGTTGATAAAAAAAAATGCTTGGAGATAGTTATGGAACTACTGAGAAGTAGATAGCTGAGAATCATCTGTGTCAATTGTCTGTTGAGGTTAAGAGGGGCAACTACAGCATACACTATATTAAACCAAACAGCTTTCCACAAGCCATATAAATCTCTGAAGAGAAAAGTTTTCATGCCTGAACTACTGTATGTCAACCCAAGCAAAATTGTGTACTAATATTTTTTGAATACAAATATGAATAGTTGTTTTTCAACAAACCAGCCATATCCCACCAGGGCAGGTGACCTAAAAAGAAAAATGAACATTTGTTTTTAAATTTAGTTGTGTATACAGGAGAAAGGGTTACTAGCCCCTTACACCCTTCGTTTTAGTCTCCTCTTAGGACACGCATGGCTTATAGAGGAAGAATTTTGTTCCACTTCCCTGTGGAGAAAATCTGAAATGTATTCTGTTAAAACTGTGCCATGTAGGTACATACGTGAGATATCTGACTGTATGTAAAATGCCTTATACTGTTTCATGCTTTTTACAGATCATAATTTTAACTACTGTTGGTGGCATCATCTTTTTAATCCGTCCTTGTCATTGTGTACAGGCATGCCTTTCCAGGTGTTTAATGTTGAGTCCAAGACTTCAGAACGTAATAAGCAATGATCAAAGGAAAATATTGAACTTTGGGAAAATCCTATTATTTGGAAGAACAATAACCCTAAATTTACATACCATTATAGTACAAAAGTCATTTAAGAGATTTTTTTTTTTTTTTTCAACAAGTCGGCCATCTCCCACCGAGGCAGGGTGACCCAAAAAAGAAAGAAAATCCCCAAAAAGAAAATACTTCATCATCATTCAACACTTTCACCACACTCACACATTATCACTGCTTTTGCAGAGGTGCTCAGAATACAACAGTTCAGAAGCATATACGTATAAAGATACACAACATATCCCTCCAAACTGCCAATATCCCAAACCCTCTTTAAAGTGCAGGCATTGTACTTCCCATTTCCAGGAATCAAGTCCGAATATATGAAAATAACCGGTTTCCCTGAATCCCTTCACTAAATATTACCCTGCTCACCCCTCCAACAGATCGTCAGGTCCCAAGTATCATTCGCCCCCCATTCACTCCTATCTAACACGCTCATGCACGCTTGCTGGAAGTCCAAGCCCCTAGCCCACAAAACCTCCTTTACCCCCTTTTTCCCAAAACCCTTTCGGGGACGCCCCCCTACCCCTCCTTCCTTCCCCTATAGATTTATATGCTTTCCATGTCATTCTACTTTGATCCATTCCTCTCTAAATGACCAAATACCACCTCAACAACCCCTCTTCTCCCCTTTGACTAATGCTTTTATTAATTTCCACACCTTCTCCTAATTTCCACAATCCGAATTTTCTGCATAATATTTACACCACACATTGCCCTTAGACAGGACATCTCCACTGCCTCCAACCGTCTCCTCGCTGCTGCATTTACCACCCAAGCTTCACATCCATATAAGATTTTTTGGTACTACTATAATTCATACATTCCCTTCTTTGCCTCCATTAGATAACGTTTTTTGACTCCACATATACCTCAAAGCAACACTCACCTTTTTTCCCTCATCAATTCTATGATTAACCTATCCTTTATAAATCCATCCGCGACACGTCAACGTCCCAAGTATCTGAAAACATTCACTTTTCCATACTCCTCCTCCCCAATTTGATAAACCAATTTTTCTTTATCTAAATCATTTGATACCCTCATCACCTTACTCTTTCTATGTTCACTTTCAACTTTCTACCTTTACACACATTCTCAACTCATCCACTAACCTTTTTCAATTTTTCTTTAGAATCTCCCCTAAGCACAGTATCATCAGCAAAAAGTAACGTGTCAATTCCCATTTTGAATTTGATTCCCCATAATTTAATCCCACCCCTCTCCCGAACACCCTAGCATTTACTTTTTACAACCCCATCTATAAATATTAAACAACCAAAGGTGACATTACACATCCCTGCTAAGACCTACTTTTACTGGAAGTATTCTCCCTCTCTTCAACACACCCTAACCTGACCTCACTATCCTCATAAAAACTCTTTACAGCATTTAGTAACTTACCACCTATTCCATATACTTGCAACACTGCCACATTGCACCTCTATCCACTCTATCATATGCTTTTCTAAATCCATAATTCAATAAAAACTTCCCTACCCTTTATACCTAAATACTGTTCACAATATATGCTTCAATGTAAACACTGATCTACACATCCCCGTACCCACTTGAAGCCTCCCTGCTCATCCGCAATCCTACATTCTGTCTTACCTCTAATTCTTTCAACTTATAACCCTACCGTATACTTTTCCCTGGTATACTCAGTAAACTTATTCCCTAGAATTTTTACAATCTCTTTGTCCCCTTTCCCTTTATATAAGTAGGACTTATACATGCTCTCTGCCAATCCCTTAGGTACCTTCCCCTCTTTCAATACATTTATTTAAACAAAAGTACCAACCACTCCAAACACTATATCCCCCCCTGCTTTTAACATTTCTGTCATGATCCCATCAGTTCCCAGCTGCTTTACACCCCTTTTCATTCTACGTAAATGCCTCACGTACCATCACCACACTTACATTCTGCTCTTCTTCAACTCCTAAAAGATGGTATACCTCCCCTGGCCAGTGCATGAAATTACCGCCTCCCTTTCTCCTTAACATTTAAAAGTTCCTCAAAAATATTCTCGCCTCTACCTAATACCTCCCTCCTCTCCACAATAACCCCCTACTCGGTTTTTTAACTGACTGCAAATCCATACTGGGGGTCCCTAGGCTTTCTTATCTTGTTTTAACCTCACTCCCATTCCAAAATTTTTTCTTATTTTCATTAAAATTTTCTTGACAGTGCCTCTCCCACTCTTTCATCTGCCTCTCCTTTTGCACTCTCTCACGCACTCTCTTTCACCTTTCCTTTTTATTCTCCTATACTCTGTGCTCTTCATTATAACACATCGCTTTGTAGATACGTACCAAATATCGTTACTGTTATAATTAACACTTTCCATATAAGTCAGCTGCTACGTGTTTTTAGTTCGTGAGAAGTCGTATTTAATAAATGTAAGCAAGAATAGTACTGAGCAGTCTGGTAACTTACTAGTATAATTATAGCTTCTTGACCCCCATTTTTTTTTTTCTTTTTTTTTTGTATACTACAGTCTGAGTAGCATTATTAGATTTCTGACTGCTCGAAGGCCAGAAATCATATACATTCTTCAAATAC